AATAATACAGTAGCATCAGACTGTATGCTCTCTGGATACAAATAGGTCTCTCTTACCTTTTAATCTTTATTTTCTTAAACTATTTTATTTAAATATTTTTTGCAGTAAACATTAGGAAAAATTGTTTACTATGACATGATTTTTCTGCAGAATACTATACTTTTTCCTAAATAGTGTAGTACAACTACTCTAAGGAGGTACTAACTGCTTAATCTGTTGGGCTGGCTGCTCAGGTAGCTAGCCTGCAGTCTTTTGCTTAACAAACATCCTGCGCTTAACATGCAAACTGTAGTTTAAATGTCAGATTAGCTTATAATGTCGTACATCTTTAGCTTACACAGTGTATTTCTAACATTACAGGTGCAAGTCCTTACCAGCATGGCAATTAGATGTGTAAAACTTTCACCTTCTCACATGAGTTCAGTTGGAGCCTTCAATACCTGTCATTAAATAATTACCTCTGCTACAGGTTTAGTTTTAACCATTTGAAATCTAATTTTCAGGCAGGTCTTTCTTGTAGTCCATCCTGAAAAACATGGTAGTTAAGTGTGTTGTGTAGACACTTCAGTGCAGGAGCTTTCCTTATAGATGGAGCTGTCACTCAAAGACTTTCTTTGGAATCTCACTAAAAGAGATTTTAAAATCTCTGTACACTTCAACTTATAGAAACAAAACTAGCAATCTTCAACAAAAATGCACACAATTACGCATTATGAATGAAGGGCAGATTTGCAGAGACTGATGAAAAGGTGAATGAGGAACAGATTGAACACCAGGGTTGTACAGAATGACTTTTGAGGTTGTTGCAATTAGCTGACCTATTGTGAAGGTAATCAAAAAAAAAAAGAACATAGATTAATTTGTCCAGAATTAATCTATGGTTTGTAGCATTCATTCTCTGGACTTTGTACTGTTGTGCCTTGTACATGGAGGACCTGGAGTTTATGGCAAAAGCCAGAGTACAACCTGAATAGGTCATCATAGGTTCACCAGGTGCATGCACACACCAAGTCTGGTCTGAATATGGCAGCCCCCTTAGTATGGGTAGAAGAAAAATCCCTAAGCAGTATGCCAGACCTGCATTACAAAGCAGAATATCTCTAGATGTACAAAATATTTATTGTGACTGTTATTTCTGTTGTAGGCACAGAAATAGGAGGAAAACTCTAATGCTGAGTTTTCTGTTCAGATGTGTCTCAGCAGTCATTATTTTTAAAGCCCGTATGCGTTGTCATTTTTTTCCTGAGCACATTGCACAACAAAAGCTTCACACAACAAACAAACAGACCCACAAGGCTCCTCTTAAACACCTCACTATATCAAGACTCAGACATCATAAAAAGATCAATCTATCTTTGAACTGACTCTGCAAGTTCATCCTAACGCGTTTAATCCTCCAAACACATGCGGTTCGTCTCACTCTCCTTCAATGCTCCCCACCATCTGAAAAGTGTAATATCAGTCTTATGGGGAATGAGAGATACAATGTGAGCCCTTGATCCAACCCACTCATTCCCGCTGCTTGACTGAACACACTTTGCATTCTCCGCTTTTTCTCAGAGCCCACTCAGGTGCATTATGGAAATGTCTTCTGTCATCTTCAGTGTTGCAAAAGCTTCCTCTGGGATATACAGTTGAGGCTCTGTGTCAGCATTGCAGGTACAGCATGAGACTGCGTCTGAAGAGCAGACATTAGTGATGAAACAGCTATTCAACAATTCAGGAGACATCACTGACAGGTCTTCCTTCCCCTCAGTGATAGTCTGAATGTTCTGTTGAAGCCTGTTGCAGTTGAATTGACCAACACTGTTCCACAATCTAGAACACTTTCTGTATGAGATGATGACTTACTTAATGTATGGCTGTTGCTTCCTGCTCTGTCCATTACAATCATCTTGAGAGAACATCTGAGATTTGCTTAGATTCCTTGTAATGTTTTTTTTTTTTTTTTTGCTGTAAAGTTTAAGGTCCTGGTTATGTTTAACTCCACGGGCCTGTTTTGATCATAGTTAGCAAGCATTCATGAAGCTTTATATGGAAATGATACACTTTACAACAACAATTGACAGTAGTCATGGATGACCTTGCAATTGTAGCATGTGATGCGAAGTCATAAAAGAAGAAGAATGCCATGCCAAGCATAGTTTTATTAATATTACTATTTTATTATGCATTTCTTTCACATTTTTTTGGGAATAAAATAAATGTTGTAGCAGTTGGTTTGAAATTTTTTTAATTTCTTTCTTATCTAAACATGAGCTACGGTCATGTTTGGTTTCAGGACCATGGACAGCTTCAGATTGATATACCTGCATGTCATTTTTCCGAGCAGCTCCTACTGGGACCATGTAATGAAAAGGAATCAGTCATTCTAGTGTCATTGGTCTATTAGTGTGTTTTGACCTAATTAACCTGAAAATGAAGCAGGTTACATGGATTTTGTTACTGTTATTTTAATTAGGATAAATCCTTCCCTGTATGCTGTTGACCATTAATAATGATGCAGATTTAAACTTCCTGGTCTTTTTTGATGCTATTTTTACCCCCTTGTTGCACATTTCTTCAAATTGTATCATCTCAGTCAGAGTGGGATTATGCAGCTGAACAAAGCAAAAATACAAGCATGCACATGCAAAAATGACACTCTGCTTTTTGTTTATACACCAGCTGCTTGTTCAGCATGGCTCCTGACGAGGCAGCGAACCATGAGCTCTGTATACTTACATCATTGTCCAAAATCATATTTTCTCTTGTCGTGTTTTTGGTAGCTGTGGGCATGTGAGAACGAACAGTCGCCACCATGAAAGGCTGAGTGAAATTAGCTATTTGCTCTGACTGATTCACACACATTAGGGCCAGAACATTAATATCTTAATTAATTATGTTTTACTTGTGTACAAAGGCTTGGGCTGGATAAAAAAACATATTGCAGCAACAAGCACCCACACAATCCACATTTTTAAAATGGTATTCTTTCAAAGAAGCATGTGAATGATTAGGGCAGCAACTGAAAGGTGAATAACCTTCAATATATTAGCAACAAAACAAGATAAAAAGAGACATTTTTTTATCATTTGAATTTAAACAAAGATGAAATAGTGATGATGAGACCAGTTGTCTATCCTCTACAGCAACACAGATGTTTGCCCCGTGTCTGCCCATCAAATTTGAAACGGTTCAAGTTAATCGATCATAAAAAGCTATAGCATTGTGTGGAGAAGCTCAAAAGTTTTTCCAACTCACTTTGCAGAGAATTCTATTAAAATATGCAGATAGGAGTAGCACTTGCTGTTCATGCTTTTGTCCTGTTGTGAGTGAATATTTGATGTGATTGGAGAGGTGTAGGTGAGTGGGTGTAGGGACAGATGTTCACGTTGTGTTTGCGAGAACCTGCTTGTGTTACTGGGGGTTTGTGAGCTGCTATAAATCTAGCTATTGCTTGTTGGAAACTAGAGAATGGTCACTCTATTAAGAGACAGAGTGAGACACTCCACACTAATCATGCCGTCTCCAATCATCGCAACGAACCAGACCAGGGTCGTCTGAGCATGCTCATTCGTGGGATTAATTAGCAAACTTCAGTGAGTACCTAACGATGTTGTCAAAGAGCTTTTCAATGGTTCTTTCCCCACTTCTACTGTAAATGTGCACTGAAAGTGGAGGCACGAGTTTGGCTGTGGATGGAGGGAGTTGATTGTCACTCTGTAATTTTCGGTCTGACAACCTTGTAAGTGCGAGAGGCGTAGGTGTGCCAGTGACAAGGAGCTTGCTTTCAGCTGACAGCCCCACAATGCCTGTCACCCAATGTTTCCCACTAGTCACATTCGCATTATTCAAATCTTTGGAAATGTCAACAGAGCAAACTTCCAACTTTTGGAGCTGCATGCTTTTATTTCAATTTAAAGCCCCCAGAGATCTGCAAACCCGTTATAGAATAGCAACAGGGGATCCACATAACTGTGGAAAATATAGACCTATATTTGAAGTCTTTGTAAGTGAGGACAAGGTTTGATAGCCACAGCTTGAGACTGTATCATTTGGCTTCGGACACAGACCCTTGCCGTACATTCTCCACCTCAACCTAGAACCACTGAACTGGACATACTCTGTGTTTGTCAGACATTGTGGCAAACAACTTTCTGGTGTCTGTCTATGTACAGATGTGCTGAATGACAGGCTGATGGTGTTTTAAAAACCAAGGAACAGTTCCAGAGGTTAATGGACAGTCTGCTCCAGCAAAGATATGTGATTCCCTCTAATATCGATGCACAATTTTAGGATAATTTAGCAAAACACTGACTTAATTTTAATCGCAGTTTGGTGTTGGCACATTTTAGTGGGGCTGCTGTCAAAAAGTGTAATAAGTTTTTATATTATTAAGAAATATTTGCCACCCTGATATAATTTTTTTGGCTTATGAAGGAAAAAGCCTGTAGCAAGAGGTTCATAATAAACAAACACAAGTGGTAAAAATCAAATTAGGAATCAGCACTGCCTTTTTAACTAAATATAAGAAAAAGTTATGCTCATTGTTGATCCAAAGATCAGTTTTGGAACTCAGGGAGTTCATATAAAAATTTAAAGATTTAAGAAAAACAGAACAAAATGTGATGTTTGTTAATCTATCTCTTAAAAGAAAAGGGAGAAACATTCTGAGTATGGAAATAGTCAGAAGCAACCTGCTTTACAGTAGCTACAGTTTCACCGTTGGTTTCTCCCCAGTCATGTTGCACAAACAAGCATGATTAGGTTGATATCTCGGGGAAATTGGAAAGTCGTCTGGCTCATGGTTCACTGCAGACAGGAAATAAGTTCTGTGATTTCACTGGGAGGCTCTTGGGGTTCTGCTTTTTCTCAACACAACAACGACTTCAGAAATTTGTCTCCGAGGGACATGCGGCGATTAATCACATTTCAGTGTCGCACCCAATAGGAGTTCAGAGGTTTCTAATCTCACTGATGTCACTTTGTTTACCTCTTATCATTTGTGTTTTGTTCAGGTTCATCTTGGTTTTCACCTGCCTGGTCCTTTCCGTTTTCTCAACCATCCCGGCTCATCAGGACATCTCCTCCAATTGCCTACTAATTCTGGTAAGAAAACCTTGAACCAGAAAAAATCCCAGTCGCTCTCACACAGGAGTTTAAACATTAAACTGTCTGGAGTGGGATAATGGCCAATGCTGAGGGCTCTTCTCATTTCTCTAATATGCAAGAGCCTAACCATTTAGCAGAGTCTGTGGACCGGAATAAGGATGTCACAAGAGTTATTCCAGTCCACTCATGTGCCACTATTTACACTTGACTCAGAAATGGATGCCAAACATTCAAAGCTCAGTTTAAAAGTCAAAATAAAGTTCTTATTAGTTCATTTTTTTCTGAAAATTTTGAGGCATATTAACTATTCTGTTTTTCTCATTGTAGAAACTATTGACCATGACTTAGTTCCATGATGAATAAGAGAGAAACAAATTAAGAGCCTTATTAATTAACTATGCAATTTTTTTGTATTAACCCTATTTTGATTTTCTGTGTCAGAATCTTTTGGCTGTCAGCAGATTATAGTGTGGCTAAATAAATGCTAACAGTATCTCTCCAAGCATCTGTCTAGACAAAGTCATCAAGGTGAAACTCAATGCCACATTTATTCACCTGTCCCTAATTTATTTTGGCCTCAAACTTTCAAACCCTCAATTATAGATTCTTTAAGTATCCATAACACCAAATGGAGCTCATTCGGTGTTCTGAGAAAGAGATTTAAGAAGAACAGACTGAGCCACCGATGGGCACAGGAGCAAAAATGCTTTTAAAAGTCTCCTAAAATGATTTTACATTTCTGTTTTTTTTTTATCTTCTTTGAAAAGCCTCTAGCAGAAAGGAAAGGTCACTCTTTTGTACACTGCAGCAATTCCTGCAGACAATTGCCCCTGCAGCTGTCGCTACCATTTCACAAAGTGCACCCCACTAATTGCATCAGTGTTACATCTAATGGAAGCAGAAGTAATGTGTGTGCATTAACAGAGGACCTACCTTAGTCATTATCAAACAAAAAGCTCTCTGCACCTGGTGACAAACAATAAGGCAATAATGAGGCAGAATGTGTGATGAATCCACAAAATAACAAGCAAAGCTTGAAATGCAAATATGTTCTTGGAAGACTAAATATCACAACCTCTTTTTTTAAAAAACTAACCAAAGGATTAGATTAAGGTTGCTAATGTCACCCTGGCGCCACTTCATTGGTGCCATTTTCTGGCAGGCCTTCTTTGCTTGTAAACATTCCTCCAGTAAGTTCTTTTGAATTCAGCATCCATGGCATCAAGAAGAAATTATCAGACATGTAAACCAATAATATCTAAATGCTTTTGTTTGCAAGGAGCTAACATATTTGACAACTGCCAAATTATCTGCCCGCAAGCATAGAAGACTACACTTATGTCCGCTGAACTAAAACACCTCCTGCCTATGTTTTCTCTCAAAACTTTCCATTTGCTTGTGTGACTTTTCCAACAGGAGTTTGTGATGATCGTTGTGTTTGGTTTGGAGTATATCATACGCATCTGGTCGGCAGGATGCTGCTGCCGCTACAGAGGATGGCAGGGCCGTCTGCGCTTCGCCAGGAAGCCCTTCTGTGTCATAGGTGAGATTAACCTCTCCATCGCCATGACCATAGATATCAAGAACAGAAATCAAGAAAAAGAGTTAAAGTTAAGTGAATTTTGATAGAGAGCAAAAATGTTCATGATAGGATGACTTTTTAAAAAAAGGAAGTTGTCATCTGTGGCTTTCTGGGAAGAGGGCTGTATCGTTTTTTTTTTTTTTTTTAATGTAGTTGATAATTATGTTTTCATGTAAAATGGTTCCATGTTCAAAAATAAAAGCAAGATTTTAGGAGGTTTTATTTTTAACAAAAATATCACTGCTGCAGAAAGCCATTTTAAATTTAAAAGACTTTGACCCGAACTAACGTCCTCTAGAAAACCTGGCATAAATAAATTAATAAAAACATTCTTGGAAAGAAAAAGCAACAACAAAAAAGCATTTTGGAAAAAAATAGAGGTGATTTTCAAGGCCTTGTAAACATCTATTTAAAATCTGAAAAATATGAAGCTCAAAGACAATAGTGATGACGTTTATGGAATTTATTTTTGGGAAAAAAGCTCAAGTAAAAATCTTTCTTTTCTTCTCAAATTCTTCACTGATGGAGAGTCATCAAGAAACATGTATTTTTATTAAGTAAATATAGAATCCAGGTATCATAGACAAGATGTGATAAGGTAAAGCCCTGCTGATCTATTCAAAGTGGAATTGTTCAATTAAAGTCCCCAAACTGAGTTTACACAAAACTCAGTTTAATTAAATAACATTCCAGTTTCATCTAATTGATCTAACAGATGCAATATTTTGTCTACGCCCATAAATACATCAAATAGTATAAGGAGTTTATCCCTATTGGACATAAAATTTTATGGACATAAAAAAAATTATTCATTCCACTGAATGGCAGATGACACATTTGCAAATTAGCTTCAATGTTAGGCACAGCTCATTTGTAACCAGTAAAGCTTCATTAGTGTGCTTGAGAAGAACTATTGGCAGTAATGTTTCATTCCTTATTAGAAATATGAGATGTTTAATGAAATAAGTCAAGATAATCATCCAAAATGCATAGAGAAGATATAATTTTCTTATACATACAGCTAAAAGAATACTAAATGTTGGGGTGGAAGAGGAACAATGGGAGGCTGCAAAGAATTTAGTTTATAAGTCCTCAATTTGTGCCCGGCATATTTTGCGCTGTTCTAATATAGTGCAAAATATTTTATAAAATGCATTACACAAACGCAAAATTAGCAAAGATTTACCTTTCAGTCAGCGAAGCTTGCAATAGGTGTGGACAATCACCAGCTAACCATACCCACATGTTTTGGGCGTGCCCAAAGCTAATCGAGTATTGGGGTAACATTTTTAAAATACTAAGTCAAGCATATAATCAGACAATTCTCCCCAATCCACTATCGGCTATATTTGGCATCCCTCCAGACCTGGACCTTTCGCGTTCTTTGAAACGGTTCCGAGCTTTCACTACTGTTTTGGCTAGAATACTTATTCAACTTCAGTGGAAACTAAGCGTTCCCCTGTCTCATGACCACTGGGTTAGAGAAGTTCTTCATAACCTGAAGCTGGAAAAACTCAGATTTTCACTTAAGGGTTCCACCAGTAAATTTATGGAGACTTGGAGACCTTTCCTAACGGTAGTGGGTACCATGACTTTGCAACCTGATTCAGAAGAAAATTAAATTATCGGTGGGCCCTCACATCTATATCCAGTTCTTTTCTTTTTAACCAAGATTTATTCGTTATTTTTTCTATTCTTTATGTATCTGTAATTTATTTGTATATTTGTTTAATTTACTAGTGTGTACATATAAATATATATATATATTTATTATATATATTATTATCAGTATTATTATTTTTTTCATTCTTTATTTCTTTCTCTGCTTCCTTTGGATTGTGAGTTTATGTCGTGTTGCTAGACGTTATTACAGGGACTGGATCTCTGCTGGCTGTTTGTCTTGTGTTCAGACCGAGACGGGGGGGTTGGGGTGGATAGGGTTTTGGGAGAAATCAGCTTGAACTTCTCTCTCTCTCTATCAATAACAACTGTGTTTTCTTTGTACTGATGATTAAAATTCAATAAAGAAAGTTGGAAAAAAAAATACTAAATGCAAAAAATATGCCACAAAGCTATAGATATAGCTGGAGGAATTGTTCACAAGTTTAAAGTTTAAGAAACAGTGTCTACACCATTTAGCATCAGGGAATCCTGGAAGAAATTATGATGTCTTAAAAAAAATTTAAGCTTAGAGATAATTGGATATTTAAATAGAGCACTGATCACAGCATGCCTCAATATCTACCAAGGCTTGGTTTCAGAAGATTTCCTACTTGGTTGCCCATCATATTTATGTCACTTACCACGCAAAAACTTTTAGTAGGATTTGAAAAGGCAGGGTGCAGCACACAAACGCAACAATATTAATGAACCGGAGATCTCTGTCCGGGAAGAGTGGGATGAGATTCCTCAGGAATACTCCCTGAAGCTTGTCATAATGCAATAAGGGTGGTTGAATAATCTACAGACTGCAGAAGTCATCAAATGTGACCTTATTTAAATACATTTTTGAAAATCCTCTTGTAGTGTTAGCTGTGTTTAGCTATTTAAATGGCCCTTATTTAAATTGTTGCATCTGCTGTTTTGCATAATACAAATAAACCTCATTAGAATTGAGTGTTAAATAAGTGCTACTGCACTGAAACATTGAGCATCGTCTACAGTTTAAAGCAGACACACATTAAAATAAAGTGCTGATAAAAAAACTGAGCAAACTAATGCACCTATTTAGTGACAAAACACGAAAAATGAAAATAGTAGAATAGAAATACTTTTATTTTTCAACATGGAGTAATTCAGGTCTAAAGCAGCACATTATGTGCTCTATGTAAACCTTAAAGTGCAGTGAACTCTGTGCAGCTCGGTGATCCCCCCCATGCAAATTTTTAAGGCTGCTTCTGAACTCGCATCAAGAGAATATAAAAAGTAAAAGCTGTGTGTAAGAGTTTTACTCGGCATGTCTCTGAGATGGGACAATGTGCAGTGGAGGGACGAAAAGAGGAAAAGTCACAGGAGCTGATTGCTGCAGTGGTTCTCTGTGGGTTCAGTGTTATGTATTTATTACGTGTGGTTTCTGTGTGAACTTCCTCTGAGTCATGTCTATGTACGTCTGTCTGCCTGCCTGAGACCTCGTTTGTGCATCTGATTGTCACAGTTTGCAGAACATTTTACAATAATGCCAGCGCATGAGAAATTTTACTTCCTGTTTGTTCCAGCAGCAGAACTATCTGATGACATTCTGACTTACAGCATCAAATGAGTCAAAGTTATTGTATTGTTGTGGATGCCAGCAGTAGAGTATAATCTTTTTTAATATGAAATATTGCACCATTCAGACCAATGACAAATTAAACAAAATTAATACAAAAAAAGTGTTTTTATTTTATTTCTTTATAATTTTCTTCTCTTTTTCTGTGTTTTACCTTTTCTTCCGCCTGGCTTCTCCAGACATCATAGTGTTGATTGCATCGGTAGCAGTGGTGTCGTCGGCAGGCAGTCAAACCAACATGTTTGCCACCTCAGTCCTGCGGAGCTTGCGTTTCCTGCAGATTCTTCGGATGGTACGGATGGACCGAAGAGGCGGGACCTGGAAGCTGCTGGGATCTGTGGTGTACGCTCATAGTAAGGTCAGCAGAGACAAAACACACCGGAAATCACACTGAATGGAGTGCTGGTAAAGCATTGATTGGTCAGGTTTCTGATAAGTGTTATACACACAAACAAAAATAAAAAAAGAGCAAAAGTTTATCTTCTGTGTCAAGCTTTGATTTAGAATTTTTGAACAAAAACACTACGACAGCTGCAGCTGATACAGAATGCTGCTTCTCGCATTCTAAAACCAAGAAGAGTCACTACACTATATATATATATATATATATATATATATATATATATATATATAATATATATATATATATATATATATATATATATATATATATATATATATATATAGTAATACGGGGGGGTTTGGGGTGGGTAATACATCATTGAAGTTTTTTCTGTGTTGTGAGAGAAGATTAGCATATTACATATATACTTCTATGTTCATATGCACTTTTTAAAGAAAGTTTGACATCCTTTACTCGAAAAAAGTATAATTGTAGGCTGCCTTTTAATAATAGATTAATGTCATGTGACATCACAGGAACATATCGCCGAGATCTTTCACACATGTACTGTACATCTAAATCTGAAAATAAACAAAACAGTTATTTAAAACAATACTCTGAAAGCTTAAGGAAACAGTTTAAGTTGTGCTTTTAATTATGTAACTATGTGTTGAAAATCTTGTTAAATTTAAACCCAGAGTTCTGGCCAAAACATTTCTAGCACAGTTTCCCCTCCACTTCCTGCTCTCTTTCTTTGACTCACTATAATCCATCTGCCTTCACCTCCAACAGCCCACACAAACCTTTTCTCTCTTACTTCTGCCTGACATATTTGTGTAGAAACCACAGCAGGTCATTTCTTCTTTTCTTTGCTTCTTTCAAAGCTGCACATTCAGATAAGACTCCTCCTGGTAAAATGTTTCACACTACACAAACAGGTCGAGGTTCAGTACAAGATGACGACGTGTCCTAAAAAAATTCTTTGATTCTGCTCCTGCATCTGACTGTGGGCAAGCTTTCGACCACAAAATTTGTTTCGAGTGGATCTTTGAGGAGAAAACACAACTCATAAAAGGATTACATGGCTTTTATGTCCTGTTGTTATCTCAATGAGATGTTGCCACATGTACATTTACTCTTTTAGCTTTCAGCTCCAAATGAAGTAGCAGTTTTAAATGACGTGAGATTAGCAAAGTGTTGGTTGGTACTAGTAAATATGTCATAGTGCCAGGCCATTTACAACATCTGCAGATGTTAAATAAAATCCTTATCCATAAATCAAACGTTAAGGCAGATTTTTGATAATCTTTGCCTTTCCAATACTGATTTTTTTTTAGCTGATTGCAGTTTTTTTTTAAATAACTGGAATTATCAACACTGATTTTTTTCTAGCCTTCCTGCAGTGAGGAGTCATTAGAAATATATCAAGAGCTTAGGCAACCTGACTCTGTTAATGAGAGCAGGCACCTTAAAAGTGGGTTTTGCGAAGACAAAATAACTGACTTGGGATTGTAAACTTCTAAGTTTTTAATTAGCAATTAGCGTTGTTAGTGTAGCAAGCATTGCAAAAAAAGTCATGACATTTATTTCTTGCAGTAGGCTCTTATCTTAACACTGTCAACATTTTTGAAAGCCAGCACATTAACTGACAAACAGGTCTATGTTTATAAAGGATAAAATGGAGCAACTTTGAAAATGCCTGCAGAAAGACTCACTTACTCCCCGCTTGAACAGTTCAGACATGACTAGGACTGAATAAAAAATGATACCTCTGGTGTCCAGTTTTTTGGAAAATAATTTTAAAAGTGAGGGAACGGATGATTTGTTTCATGAAAGATATACATTTTTTTCTGTTATTTAGCCTCAGTTAAATCTGATTGCTTCCTCTGATTTTCTTCCTCCAGGAGCTGGTAACTGCCTGGTACATCGGCTTCCTGGTTTTGATCTTCTCTTCGTTCCTCGTCTACCTCGTGGAGAACAAGTTCAACAAAGAGTTTGCCACCTATGCTGATGCATTGTGGTGGGGCACGGTAAGCTTTGAGGAATTAGCTATAAATGCCAGTGTTCAAAAAAGTAGTAAAAAATGCCATCATTCTGAAAGTTTCTTGGCATCAGCCCAATATATCAGTTCAATGTCTTGGAGCAATGAAGTTCACCTATTAATGTAGTTTCTCTGTGGTTTTACCACTTTGAATGCTTAAAATGTCTCTTTTTTCTTCTTCAATGTGTCTGTGAGAAAACTTAGTGGCAAGAAAGGTCATTTTTAAAGCGTTTTAATTTGAACACTTTCAAGTTATGTAGGATATTTTGCTTTTATAAAGTGACACGCCACATGAATGTTCTTACAAGCTGATAACGATTTCTTACCACAGATCACCCTAACAACTATCGGCTATGGAGACAAGACACCAAAGACATGGACAGGACGGATGCTGTCCGCAGGGTTCGCACTCCTGGGTATTTCCTTCTTTGCCTTGCCTGCTGTAAGTATTTTCCCTCTCTGTGTTGTTTTTTAATACAGTATTTATTTCTTCAATTTGGTGCCAATGAAAACAGCAAGACTGTGAAAGGACTGTGTTGAGTTTTGAGTAACCTTCAGTAATGTTAAAAATATAATTTGTGTACTTTAGGTCCTATCATTTTATATATTTTAGATGCTTCTGTGGTTCTTTGTGTACCAGATTTGAAACATTTAAGCTTCTTTGTTTATTGATGACTGCAATGTGTGGTTTTGTACACTTAAGGTTAAGTCATCAATACAGTAAAATGGCAAAACTAACTGAGATATCTTACTTTTACCACAAATGAACTGAATGTGTCTATATTTTGATTTATTTTAAGGAAAATACTGAAAGCTATGTGTATATGAGAGAGAACCAACTGATGCATGTCTCATCAGGGTATTCTGGGCTCTGGATTTGCCCTGAAGGTTCAGGAGCAGCACAGACAAAAACACTTTGAGAAGAGGAGGAACCCTGCAGCCTACCTCATCCAGGTAAAGTTTGAATTTTTTAGGGACCCTTTTCCTTTGTCTGTTCTTTAAAATTTCATCAGTGGTAACAAAGCCTTTTCATCACCATGTGCAGCACAAGAACTGAACCAGGACTGGAACTGGTTTGAGTAAAGAGGGGCAAAAGTTTACATTATTGTGTGAAAGTATTCAGACTACATTCTGTCATGTTACAACCATTATACATCAGCATTTTTATTGGAATTTTATTTGTTAGGCCACAAGTGTAAAAATCCAGTCTTTAAGGGCCAGTGCCCTAAAACTTTCAGATGTGTCTTTGCTTCAGCATACCTGAATCAAATAAGTAGTTTACTATATGACGTCTCAAGAACTTAACACCAGGCTGAGAAAGTAACTTTGATTCATGTGTGATTCATGCAGAATCCTCAAAGACTCCAGTCTGACATTTCTTAAAAGCCCAAGGCAAAGTAGTGCATATTTGTGAAATGGAAAGAAAACTGTTTTTAAAAATAATTTGTATATAAGAAAAGAACTACTAATTGTGGCATGCAGGTCTATTCTATCCCTGTAGGATAGTTATACAAAGTACTGATTTAAAGGATAAATACAGATTTGCGTCAGTCTTTTTTAAGATTTTCATTGGTGAAAAAGGTTAAAACTAAATGTCATTTTCCTTCCACCATTATTGAGCTCCATCACAATAAATCCCAATACACTACATTTCAGTTTGTGGTTGTAAGGACTAGACAATAAAAAAATATATATATTATTATTATAATAATCATTTTGCAAGGCATTGTAAGTTAATACCTGAAAATTAATGAAGATGATTTTAAACATGTTTATTTTCTTATCCTCCTGCTTCTCTTTTTCCATTCTAGATCTTTTTGGACAGTAAATCTCATTCTCTCTCACCCAGGGGTAGCCTCTAAAATCTGTTTTTACACAGATTCTTCCAAAAATGCACCAGTCTTCTTCCCTTTTCTTCTTCTTCTGTTCTCTTCACATTTCTACTCATGCTTTCTGTTCTTCGTTGCTCTCCTCTTTTCCTCAAATGTTGTCTCTTCATCTTGTGTATCTCACTGTTATACCAGGCTGCGTGGCGTTATTACTCCACTGACAGGCCCTATCTGGATGCCACGTGGCGGCACTATGAGAGCCTTCTGCCAATCAACAGGCATGTATTCATGCCTGACCTGCATCCGGGGCCAGATGTGTGACACATCTGTGTATTTTTTTTCATGATTATATTTTTGTGTTTTTTGGCTTTTTCACTAATCATCTGTCTTCATTAGTTTTATCATTGCCCTGATCTATTTTGCACTCTTCTTTATGGTACCCTCTTTGATTCTGATTTACTTGTTTGTTTTTTGCTTTGTATTTACCTCGATTGTGGGTGGGGGGTGTTTTCTATTTGTATTCTGCATGCAGTGTGTTTGGCGTAGTTATGCAGCTGATGAGAACTCGGTTTCCGTTGCTACCTGGAAGCCTCACTTGAAAGCATTGCATACCTGCAGCCCTACAAAGTAGGTACAACTATGACAGCTGATGTCTGTATTTGGTGTTTTTATCACACTCTCTCTTGGATTTCTGATTGAAGAAGAATTACTTTTGTTACTGTTGAACTATCTTATATACTTCCCTTATCCATAATTATTGATCCTCCATCTATCTTTTATTGCTGTATCATAAATTTAAACTTGCATCCAAAAGTCAATTTGAATGCTAATATTTCAAGCAACAATCCCTTTTCACTACTACTGAACCAATCGATCTTTGAATTTGAGGTTCTTCAGCTCTCTTAAAAAAAACATGGCTCAAGGTACAGTCTTCCTGTGTGTGTTGCTTAAAAGACCAAAATATAGTTAACAAAAACAGGAGATTGTTATTAACAAGGAAACAAGAATGGAAAGTGAATTCTGATACAAACTGAAGGAGCTGTAAAGGTTTTGAAAGTAGTAGTCACATAAACTGCTATGACAAGTTTGATCCTGGAGATGTTTTAGGATGTCAGAAATTGATTGATTCTGTCTGGCTCAGCATCTGGAATCCCGGGGTGAAAATTAATCTCTGTTCCTCCATTGTTCAGGGAGTTGTTTGCTGTGGTTAAGATATTTAATGCTCGTAGTCTTTCTACAGAACCCCATTTTGAAATAGCTGACCCATCGCTCTAAAGATGGGGAACAAAAATCTGTCTGTTGAAGATTTATTGGACATCTCTATTTTTTTTATCAATTCTGGTCTGTCTCGTGTAATGGTGTCAATAAAAAGATGTTTGAAAAACACTAAAGCAAAAAACAAGAACATATTTTATGACATTAATATCTAAAAAAAAAAGAAAGGCCCATTTATTATTCAGATGTGTCTGTACACTCAAATGTTTCACTGATTTTTCCAGTAAAACTATTGTTGGAGCCTGGAAATACTGAGCAACCATCCAAACAGTATAAAACTGGCATTTTTAAAGACATGCGTAAAAAAAAAAAAAAAGCGTTGACCATTAAAAAAAACACAACTTTCTCCTTCTGGAGGAATATTTTTGTTTCCTTTTTCCATTTGCATGCTGTAGTAATTAGTGTGTGTTTTGCTATTTTTTTTTCTGTCTGTGAAGCATGCCAATAATTAGTGTATTGCCTTCTGTAAATTATGAGCACTTGCAAAAGCTCCAGTTGCTGGAACAGTGCTTCGGCAAAAACCTTTGTATCTTGATGATTCTAAGAAACACATTGGTGTTTTTGCAAGTTTTAGCTTTGTAAAGCTAAAACTTTCAATAAATCTTGAGTGCAATAGTTTTTACACCACAGCTCTTGACACCTACTGGTTTCAATGCATCATAGAAAAGCATTGTGCTTCTAAAAATGTGTTGAATTACATAATCTGTCTACATCCAGTATGTCATGTTGACAAAGCTGAGCTCTCCACAAATATAAAGCTCCATAAAAAGTAGCCTTAGCAATCTTTTTAGGGTTCAGTGCTACATCAACAGTATATCTGGGCTAAATTTTTAGGAACCATTAGAAAATAAGTAAAGTATGTGTTTATGTTAGTTTGTAATTAGATCTCCACCTAAGCCCGACTACCGTAGACTTTTTTATTTTTGAACATGCCGCAAAAGGTGCAAATAAAATAAAATTATCACCACATTAATTTACAATAAGAAAACCACTTTGTCAATAGTTTGTCACAGTGCTGAAGTTGAGTAAATAATATTAATATTCGTTTCCAGACATGAAGGTTCTGAAAGATTTTTATTCTGTGTAAAAATAAATTGTGGCTAAATTCAGTTCATATTTCATCCATTCATAATAAGCTGTAACTATAGGTTCTTCCATTAGGCTAAAATATTCAAAAGCACAATTTTTCTTTCTATTAAGCTTTGTTATTATTATTGTCATCATTATTACTATAATTATTATTAGATAATTAGGAAAATATGCTAGAGAGGCCATGTGTAAAATGTTTTCTCATATTTTTTTTCTCTTTTTCTCATCTGTCAACTCCAGGAAGGATCAGGGGGAGTCAACCTCCAGGTTTGTACTTTTTTTCACTGCAGATTCGCTGCTAGTTGGTGTTAGAAATTTGGTTTCAGGACCAAGGATGATTTTGTGTAGTTGGCTACTGCCCCAGCACTTAATCATTACTGCCATTTATCTTTGACAATCAGAATAAAAAAATATCTTGCTGCTGCCATTATTTGAGAGACCTCAATCTATACATCCAGCTGCAAACAAGGCAGGATTCTTCTGCCATTATATTGATTGTATTTTTTAACTCGGATGAAATTTACCCTCGGTACCAAGCCCTGGAAAGTCTTGCAGTCATGTTATTCTAGAATGAGGAAGGCGTTAAGTTTTGCAATTAATGATTTACTATTTAAGCACCCGCTGATATGGAAGATCATTGTCATTATATTACGAATTTAATCAGCGCCGTTGTTTGTATCTACTTTTTCCTCATTTGGTCAAAGTTGTAACCGTTCTTTAGCTAGTACCTAACTTTATTTCGTCTCGAAAATTTTTATTATCAAACAGTTAAGATGGGGAGATGTGAACTTCAAATTTTGTGGCATTTATGACAAAAAGCAGCAATAAGCAGTAATAAAAAATATTACAAACATGTCAATGCATAGAGTTCAGAGTCTTATAAACATAATAATTTCTGCTCAAATGATTATGAGTAGAAATGATTAAGATGTGTCACTTGATCACATCAATTATATTAATTGGAACCAACTGTGCTATTAAACAGTACTCATTATGTTCAGTCATACTTTGGCTCACAAACACATCATTTATTAGCACTTTCACTGAAGTGACAATGGAAAAATCATATTTCTAGCAGTACTGTCAATCTGTCGGATTAACAAATACCAACAAAAAACCTATTGCTGTAATTATTTATTGAAGGATGACCCATTGTTTTTAATTATTATCACTGGGAAACAAAACTCCTGCTGATAGTACACAACTTATTGTTTTCCATCCCCGTTAAAGAGAAATTATGTGCTATAAAACTCTAATATCAACCAGAAGATGAGGAAATACTCTGTACAAGTGATTAAATATACTCAGAAGATGTAACTCTTTGTGTTTGTAAATGACTCATTCAGGACATCACACAGTTCATTTTGACAAGTGCAGCTTGAAAAGAAACTATAAAAAGCTCGTTTTGATATTTTGAAAACATAATTAGCTATCATAATAAAAATATGAAATTTCTCCTTTTGTCTTCATAAACAGTGACTTTAAAAGATGTATACAATTAGGAGGACATTACCTTCATGATGCTAAAATAATATATTTTGAAGATGGAGCAGGACTTGCCATGTGATTAAATTATTTTTGAAAAGCTATTTTTATGTTGCATGTTTTAAATGCAATTATTACATTGAATAAGGGTAAAAATACAAAGACATCATATTTAGATAAGATAAGATAAGATTTGCATTGTGTAACCTTGTGCAGCAATCATACATTGGAAGATGTCACAAAATTGATCTAATTCAGTGTAGAATTGCTTTTAATGTTACAATATTTTCATATAAAACAGTTTTTGCTTAAATAAAAACTCCCTTTTTCACACGAAGGTTTGGAGAATTTTATTGCAGTAAAAGGAGAGAAAAAACACTTTCAGCCAGGCTGTGTTAATCGTATTGACACAACAAAGTTGATCTAATCAGAGCAGCTAAAGGCAGAGGGTAATGATATTTTAGTCCACTAAAGGCTGTTTTTACTCAGGCGTTCAATGACTCATTGTTGCTTCTGTTTGTTTAGTGCTTTGTCTCAAAAACAATAATACCAAAACCATTTTGTTTGTGTGATTTGGGACACACAAAAAAAACCTACCCAAACACATACAAACATATTTGTCTTTTTCTCAGCGATTACTTGCCTCAGGTAGCCTTTAATTTTTTTATGAGCAATTCTTCTTTCTTTGTCTGTATTTATATAGCACATTTATCTAAAGGTTATGTATTAATGGTGTTGATGCATTTCCAGAATCATTATGGGAGGATAGCGATTAGGGCAGCAAGGCCAGTGTGATGTAATACGTTGTGTTTACAGTTATGAAACAGAGTAAATGCTTGTCTGTAGAGAAGCACAGCATCACAGATGCCGTCGCGATTGTTGTTCATGATGCGAAAGTCATTGAATAGGTGGATTAAAAAGCTTGAATCGCACCCTGTGCACAATATGTTGAAGCATTGGTAAGAATAAAGCCAGGAGAGAGCAAGAAACCTCTGCACACAGAGGGCTGCATCTCTATTACTGTATCCATAAAATAAATCCATAGAATATTATGTGTTTAGGAACAAAATGCAGCATAGGCAATCCATAAATTACAATAAAACAAGCAAAAAGAAATTCACAAGACTCTGTAAAAACATTTCTGGCCTCATGCTGTGATTCAAGCACTTGTTGCCATGCCTGCTGGAATTCACATGGTCAAAGGAGTGATATCGACATGAAGTGCATGAGTCACCAAATTGCAGCCTTTTTTGGACGGTTTTGCTGTAGATGTTAATTTTCCTCCACTAAGCCCCTGTTCTGTTCCCTCTAAATGCTAGCCCTCGGGAAATCGAAACATTGGCGCTGACTCTGCTGTTACTTCATATACGTTCTTGGTGGGGGCTTTTGTCATAAAGTTAATTTATTTCTGGAATTTAATTCAGAGACGGAAACACATCCAATATGGATTCATTGCAGACAGAGAAATCCATTTCAAGTGGTTTTCTGTTTATGTAGATGATTAGGGTTAATGAAAATCAGAATTGGTTTCATAGAAAATTTGATGACAAAAGATAAAGAAAAAGAATTTTAAATACTAATTTGTTATGCTGTGGCCTACAAAAATGTGCTCAGGACTCTCCAACTAAACATTGGGTTTCTATACTGCGTTAGCCATAAGTTATCGTCATAATGAACTGAAATTAACACTTGTAGTATATAACTCTCTGTGTTGTGAATTTGTATAACTCGAATCTCACTTTTCTGACAGTGGAAATGGTAATCCGGTTTAAAGTCATTTTTCACACCTTAAAAACCTATCAAGTAACAAATCATCATGTGTCTATCTCTCCTTGGTTTCTAGTAAAATTCATAGTAATAAGCAGAAGCTACTGAGGAGTTATACCACTCGGAAACATAGGTACACGGCATCTCTGCTCCCATGTTCCATGTTGTTCTTTTTGGGAATGCTGACTAATTTTTGGTGCATGGGTTGGAGGTTGCACAGCCTCAGATGGGCCAGAGCAAGCTAGTGCTGCGGGAAAACCTGAGACGCTCTTAAAAGAATAATTAGCCTTTCTTTGATATTTTCCTGAGTGATGTGCTACTTTGCTTGATCATATTCAGAAAAGTGATGAAGAATTGTGCTGGATTGCAGTCTCAGCTGCAAATTTTGTGAATTAATCAACATTTATGAGCTTTTTCTTGGGTGAAATGTTCTTGCTTTTTCTGTTTATTTTTCTTTCTTCACTCACTTCTTTAAATTGAACTTACGCACTACCTCACTTACTGTTTTTTTTTTTTAATTATTCACATTTTATTGTCATCAAATCCAATGAAAAAGATCACAAGTCACCATGACCAACTGCAAAATTTGGCTCTGAAACCAAGCTTGAATAGAACTAATGGGAACCATTGTGCATTACTACACAACCAAAAGTATTTTTTTATAACTTTTATAACTTTTTTTATGATGCTATTTGGATAATTTTGCAGGAACAAAGTACTGATCTTTTAAATTAATTTGCTGACAATATGTTTATTTTATTCTTGAAAGCAAAATGACTATGTGTAATGCGTCTACTTAGCCAGTTTAAATAAATCCTGCCTGAGTTTGTTGCACTGCTCATGCTTTCGCATGTTGCTATTCTGCATTAAGCACACTCAAACATTCCCTGACTTCACCTCATTGCCCAGCTTTCATATTTACGAAATATTTGAAAGTTTGATATCTTTCATATTGTATGAAACATATAAAAGAGAGAGAGCCAGATATTTCCCATATTACAACCACAACCATAAATGTGTTTTAATCGTTTATGGAGTGCACCAACACAAAGCATCATGTTATGATAATAGTTTTTTAATTATGCAGAGATTTTGGAGTATGTTATATAATGGTATGCTCTACTTTTCTAAAAACTAATTTTACTACTGGAGATACTTTGTTTTCCTTTGTCCACTGTCATGTCTTGCTAACTAATATGTTCAAAACAAATAAATACTTTAATAGCATCACTGCACATCTGATACATCACCCCAAAGTAGAGCTAGCATTTTATATATAGGACCTCCATCAATATGCATGTTTGTCTTTTCTTCCTGCCCTCCAGGTATTTACTCTGATCTCAGAAAAAGCTCTAAATGACATAAATACTATGTAAATAAGCAAAACTTTACCAAAAGTTGAGTCAGATTTCTGTTACTGAGCTGAAGCTTGAATTATTAACCAATGTTTTTCTGTCTTTCACTTCCAACATCATTGCCTTTTTCTCTTTCACACTCCAAAATATCTCTGCACAACTCCTTGTCCTCCAACTTCAGCCAAAAGTTAAGCTTCAAAGAGCGTGTGAGGATGGCAAGCCCCCGCGGTCAGAGCATCAAGAACCGCCAGACGTCCTCTGTAAATGACCGGCGTTCTCCAGTGGCCGATGGTGGCACAGAGGGCACCAGTCCTGCCAAGGTTCAAAAGAGCTGGAGCTTCAACGACCGCACGCGCTTCAGACCTTCGCTCCGGCTCAAGAGCCAGTCCCGCTCCACCACTGACGGTCAGTTACTCCGCACAGCCACCGAATGTTTCCATCAGAGCTTTATAGCAATGGCCTCGGCTGTGCCAATCAGAAATTACAGAAGGATTCATGCTTCAGAAAACATAAGAACAAAAACAGTGAAAAGCACCAGCTTTAGTATGTTCAGGTGAAAAGTATTATGCCAGTCCATTCAGTAAGTTTCCAGGGCAGTTTATTTTTCAAGTTGGTCTGGATAGCTTTTCTCCTCTGATAAAATAGAACCATCATTTGAGAAATGTTATTTATTTACTCATGTTTTCTTTATATCACACTGAAATTTATTCCATTATCTGAAATATTAATTATAGCCAAAAAGACAAAACACCTGAAATTTCTTTAGTTTTTGTTTTATAAGTGGGTTGTTTGGGAGAATTTATGAATAGTTAATATGTTATCTGCAGAAGTGACATCCTTTAACAACTTGACATTAAATAAAAAAAAAAGAATCTTGGACCATACATTTGTGGCAATAGCTTCCCAAGACAAAAAAGTATTTGAGACAAGATAGGTTTTTGTTATTTATTTGTTCACCAGGTGTTAGACTTTTTTAGCTGTCGTCACAGATGGCAGAAAACCAGTAATGGATTTAGTTTTCAATCCTAAAAATGTTTAAAATTCATTTAAATCTAAAAGCTTTGCCTTGTTTGTTTGTTTTTTTCTTTAAAGTATAAGCACAACAGTAAGATAATGTAGTAAGAGAATGTGTCACTCCATGTGTTGATTTCATCTGCTTCCCCACCCTGTCCAACACAACTGCTGTACGAAACTAAGACAGACAGCTGAGGAGAGAAAAGCGGCTGTCTCTGTCTCACCCTTTCACCAGTTGTTGTTTGTTGGATAGCTGGATAGATGGGGGTATTGTTTCAATGACTATCTGGGCTGTTTGAGCCATACAGCTGGCTGAATAGAAACAAAATTCCAGGTTAGTCAAAATCTTGCTCTTCAGGCCGTTCTCAGTGTCAAGATATTAAATATTTTCTTTGAGATGCGACCTAATTATAGACAAAACCAATAATTATGCGCTGTACTATAAGTTGTTTGAGTTCACACACATGCTTTGTACTATTACAGTCCTTATATTCGAGTCTCCAGTCAAGCTCATGACCCCTTGCTTACTTCACCAGGATGTCGTAACTCAGAAGGCCCATGAACAAATCTGCTGTTGGCGATAAATCTTAAAGGCACACAGAGGCCTTTTTCTTTACAACTTGTCTGCAGTTCCAGAAGCTTCAAATCAGTTCTTCCCTCTTCCCCTCTCCAACCAATCACTTTAAATCCTCCTGTCATCATTATGAGAGGCACCAAAATACTTTGTTCCTGGACCCAGAACCTATATACAAATCAGAATTAGAGGCTTGATGAGGTAACTTCAGGTTCAATTGCACAAGTAGTGCATCATCGCTGCTCACTAAACTCTGCTGTTGTGTTCATAGGTTTCTTGCTCGTTTTACAAATAAATGAACAGTTCTTCTCTTCTGCCTGTTTCATAAGCAGCAGACTCCACTGTGACGGGGGACGATGCCTTTGATGATAAGGGCTGCCACTGTGAGATCTCTGTGGAAGACTTGCTGCCCTCCATCAAGACTGTCATCCGAGCTGTCAGGTTTGTCAAAGGAGATTAAGCTTTCTTTTTCCATCCATTTAATGCTTTCCCCTGTTTCTGAATGCAAACAAAGACTGATTGTAGCACACTGCACTCTAGCAGCTCCCCTGATTGTTTGCACTCAAACGACTAAAATGACCGGAAGTTATTCTTTTTTTAGTTTTCTTTTTTTGGGCTATATAGCCTCCGTGGCATAGTTTATATGCAGGAAGTATTGTTATTACGGTCTTAGACAATGCAAACTTGTGCATGATTAGTAAAGACACAACAGTGCCTAGCAAATGTATTTCAAGTTACTAAAGTTTCATAAATGTATTTTATAACATTGCAATGTTTAAATGAGATTTTAGGTAGCTCGAAAATGATATATTGTTGTTTTTTTTCTTTTACAAATAGTTTTTAGAAGTTTGTAGAACCCCCTTGACTGCAATTAAAGGCACACAGAATTGTCAGGTTTTTTGTGTATGTCTCTATCATCTTGTCAAATCTAGTGTTTCATCCATTCTTCTATGATAGAGTTTAAACTCAGTCAGAATGGATGGAGATCATCTGCAACTATATTCAAGTCTTGTGACAGATTCACAAAAACAGTGTTTTTTTATTTAATTGTTTTTGCTTTGATATAAACATATAGCTCTGATATAGTTCTGGCTGTATGTTTAGGGATTTGTCTTGCTGGAAAGTGAACCTAGACTTTTGAAGTCTCTAACAGGTTATCTTAGTGGCACGCCCTGTCTTTTTTCCTATTCATCTTTCCATCAACTCTGACCAACTTCAACAGAAGAAAGATATGTTAGCAAGTAGGAACTTGTTCCTAAAATGTAAATCCTTTCACATCTTTTGTATCTACTTAATATTCATATTTGTATACCCTCCTTTCTGCTGGGTGAGGAGAGAGCACCAAACCTAGGAGATCTCTTCTAGGTTTGGTTTTATTGCATTCTGTTGCCTGCTGGCTTTTCTTTTCTGTAGACTTATATTTACTCTGAGTTCAGCCCTGAGGCACCACAGGTAAATAAACCCTTTTACAGAATAACATGCACACAGCTAAAATACACAGCTACAATTACACACGATGCTTTTAGAAAATTTAGGTGAGATATTCAGGTGCTCAGACTATTGTAGACAAAATCATGAACTGGATTTAACATGTCTCATTTAAAGGGAAAGATAAATGTTATTTCAAAGCCTTGAGGTGTAGCAGTGGATTCTCCTTTCTGATTGGGTCAGAGTGCCCTCTTTTGGCTGAAATTTGAAAATTTCTCTGCTTTTTCTGCAGGATCATGAAGTTTCATGTAGCAAAGAAGAAGTTTAAGGAGACTCTGCGTCCATATGATGTCAAAGATGTGATTGAACAGTACTCTGCCGGTCACTTGGACATGCTGTGCCGCATTAAGAGTCTGCAGACCAGGTAGGAAGAATAACTGGCTGCACATTGCTGTAAGCTGCCAGGTGTCATTCCTTAGGCCTCTGAGCTGATGAATGTGTTCTTATGTGTATTTATGAGAAAAGAAATTGTGAACATGCATAAAGATAATGATATGATCTATTTTCTTTATGCACACATGTACCTCTGTGTGTGTATATGTTTGCTTTCCTCACAGGCTGGACATGATAATTGGCCCACAGACCCTGAGCACCCCAGCTAAGACCTTTTCCTCCCCGTCTTTGTCTGTGTTTTGCAGCCAGGGGAGGAAAAACTCCGTCAGGGGGTCAGAAGTCCTCCATAGTTCTTCATTATTTTCCATCTCACATGGGTCTACCTCATATGACACTCAGTCAAATCATGCAAACAAATTAAAGTCTTTTATCAGCCAATCATAAGCAGATTCTAATGAATTAGTCAGCCAGAGATCTACGGTCTGATCTGTCGTTGCCAGATCAGATACTGGAGAAAAAAAAAATCCCCCTATTTCTTAATTATGTCAAAATTAACAATGAATTGCTTAGCAAAATGGACTGATTCACAGTTTTTGTGCTTGGAATTACATTGACCCGGAAAGACAAGATCAGTGCATTTCCAGTTCTAAGAATTATGTATTAAAAGTAATTCCAGAATTTTCATTTACCTTTTTTAATTTGTAAATAATGGTCTTTTGAGACATAGACAGACTAACCTTTATGTAAAAGGTGTTCAATTAAAGCAAAAATCTTCTCATGCAATATGTTTGCTTCTTTACTACCCCAGTATGACATAAGACTTTAATAGAGGCTTTGAATTGACTGAGTTGGTAGGGGCAAGCAGATCTTTTCTTTTCTCTGTTCTCTGATCCACTGATCAAACACTAACGATGTAATTCCACTTCTGCCGTGTAATTTTTTGCATCAATCTAAACAATACCTAATTGAAGCACATCAATACAATGTATTTATACGATGTGACGTTACAAACTGCACACTCATGTTAATTCAAAAACAAAAATCTCACAACAGCTGGTGGAGGAAAACCTCATCTCTTCAGTCTAAATATTAGAATCCTTTGGGTTTCTTTGGGTTTCTCAAACTTCTTTCATTTTATTAGGTACAATTTCTATAATTGTAATGGGACTAAAAGCATGTTACTTGTTAGAGAAAAAGTGAAACAGAACAGCATTCTGTCAATACTTGGGTGGAAGTTTTGGCATCACCATCATCACATTTACATTTTTCTTTTTGAAAGTTTCATCTCCTGACAAAAAAGGGAAAAAATTAACTAAAAGTAAATGGAGAGGACCACTAACTAAATGAACATTGCATTATTATTGTCTCAACCCCTGTCTGGAGTTTTTGACTGTTCCTAATATCCTCTGTTATTCTCTTTTCCCAACATTTCTTTCTTCTGGGCTTTGGGTTGCATTTGATTTTCCTGATCATTTTTCTTCCTGACAAATCTTTTTGTTTGCTTGTTTTTGTGTGTCTTGTGTTCATCCAGGGTGGACCAAATTCTTGGGAAGGGACAGGTCCCTCTGGATAAGAAGATACGAGAGAAGTTGCTGTCTGATGGAGATATGTTGGAGGACATGAGCATGCTGGGTCGTGTCTGTAAGGTGGAGAGACAGGTGTGTGAAGCTTTGGTGATCAACATATTGTCTTACAGCGAACTTCAGTAAGACGTTAATAGCAGTGCATCTCTGTAAAAACAGAAAGTTTATTTAATTTAATTGTCTAATTTTTTAAGTTGAAGGTTAAGAAATTCTAAACTTAATTTTTTAACCTTCAATGCTGTCACCATTTCTCTTTCTACACAGGTTCAGTCAATTGAGTCAAAGTTGGACTCTCTGTTGGACATTTATCGTCAGGTTTTGCGTAAAGGCTCCTCTTCGGCTCTCACTCTCTCTTCGCTACCCCTGTTTGAGCTAGAGCAGACCTCTGACTACAACTCTTCAGTCTTTAGTAAGGACCTCTCCACTCAGGTCAGCTGCGGTGGAGCGCTTCCCCCGAGCGGCTACACCACACGCTCTTCAACCAACTCCCAGCTCTCCCAGGGAGGGCTTCACCTCATTCTAGCACCTCAGAACGAACTCAACCTTAATCTCCATGCGTCATCGTCCACACCTCCCTCTGGCCTCACATCTTCCCCTTTTAGCCCCTCGCCGCTGCCTCGTTATCATCCTCATCTGCAACATCATAAACAGGTTCAGGCCACATCACCTGAAAGTGGCACTGATGAGGCTGTGGGGAGCTCCCCTACTGTCCTCACCCCGAACAGTACCAGCAGTTCTGGGGGCCGAGGAGTAGGAGATGAAGGCTTTCCTTTTTTGGCAAGGCTTCCGCCTCCCCCTTCTAGACAAACCCCTGGCAAACTGATCCAAGCAACCTCTAGAGAGACTTCTCCTGAAATTAAGAGCTTCTGCAGAGGTCTGCATAGCCACACAGAAGACAGTAATGTTGGGAAGGACCTAGGACTTGAGTTTGGATTGAGCACATTAGGGCAACAGTTAAAAGGGAACACTAATGGTACTGGCAGGCTTAACGCAAAGGAAGAAGGCTCCTGGAGGAGGCACATGAGTCTCGAACTGGAGCCACTTATGCCATCAGCACCAGGTTGTTGCTCGAGGCCCATCCATATGGACCAGGGAATGGGCAAATCCATGTCAGTGCAGGACCTGGTGCAGGTAGGTCCTGTTCATGATGCACACCAAAGCCACAGCCTTTCCTCTCCAAGTCCAAGTACAAGCAGTGACTCTCCAACAGGCTTCAACAGTTGTTGCCAAGACCTTGTCGGAGACACTGGTGGTACAAGAAGAGGATGTTGGGGCGAGGAGGACCTCTTTATCAGTGACAGGGACATGGAGGGGCAAGGGTTTGACTTTTTGTCACAGGGGACATCTGAGATTCACTCATTTTCTTCTGAGCACCTGAGGACAGCAGATAGAGCGGGGGTAGGGACCCAGGGCTCTAACCGGAGCCTGGCTGGTGGTCCGTCATCGTCAGCCTCCACTGGCAACGTCGAACTGCTGAACATGCCACATGTACGGCTAAAATAAGCCCATTAAACATTTGGAAGAAACACAAATCTCACCTCAGAGACGGTTTTTATCTTTTTTTTGGAGGCGAGATTGATGGGTGGGTGGGAATTTTACATGGGGTCTTGTTTTCTTTTGTTTATTTTTGACTTGGTTCTCTTGATAAGATTCCTTTTTTTTCACACAGGATAATCATATTGGCATGAATTACTCTGTGTTTTAATGTGTTTCATGGATCTGAAATAAAAGACGAATGACAAAAAAGGCAGAAAACTATTTTTGAATTAAATTAAGTAATGGATGGGTCGATGTGCTATGTAGCATGAACTGCATGTTTTCAGTAAAGCACAGATAAGAAACTACACCTACAAGCATGGCCATCCACTACCTTAATAGTTTATTGTGAGTTAAAAAGCTTTTTGTGGTCCATGACATCTGAGAAATGTTTTCATTGTGTTTTTATAAACTCATATCCACTTTAGGAAGCCAGATCTCTGCAAGTAATTGAACTGACCTGTTTTCATTTGGAATACAGAAAATACATATTTCACAAAATCCACATGTTTTAACTTCTTTTTGCATAATGTTCATTGAACAATCCAGTTAATAAATGTGCACAAATATGATAAAATGCTAGTTTTTTGTGATGATAAAAACTGAGACCATAAAATTTTTTTTCTGAAAATGTCAACAGTGCAACTGGAAAAAACAACATTTCTGCTTTTGTGTAAAAATCTAAAAAATTTCCTGGTGCAAAATTGTACACACCCTTTAAACTTTAGCTATGTAAAAAGTCCCTTTGATTCAGTTTCAAGTTGGGAAAAGAGGCTATGGCCAAAAAAATAGAAATGATTTTCCAAAATCTTCACGTGTCTGTAAGGAAACCTAAGATATAGAGGGATGTCATTTTTCAGCATCACAATCAAACTACTGCACATCCAAATCAACAAATTGATGGCTAATTGAGAAAAATCTTTTGGAGTAGCCGAGCAGAAGTCATGAACTCAAACAAAATATTTGTAGGATCATCTGAAGAGGATTGTTGAGAAGAAATGTTCTCACTGTCTAGCATTTCACATTTGAAGACGTCTTCAGCTAACTGTGTTATGGTTTTCTCAAGTACGGCACGGATCAAAATCAACTAAGTATTTTTTATATTTCTCCTCTGGTGTGTTTATTTCTCAGTGGAATTAGTCGGGATATAAGTGAAAATACATTGGCACACATTTTTGAAAAGATTCTTCATGGTATCATTTTTTTTACATCACAAAGTACAAAATGAGTGGGACGATACCTTTGTATGTGTTCACTGTGCAATTTGTAATGAGCAACTACTTCAGTATCTCCAGAGCAAAACTGAATAGTAGTAAGCAGGCCTTCTTACATCAAAATGTAAGACATGATTTTTTTTATGGCATTTATTAGCTGTTTTTTTTTTCTACAAACCCTTCATGATTTAATTCTCTGTTAAATTAATTAATTAAGTAAACACAGGAGCAGAACTACCCAGCCAGTCTGCGTAACAGAACACACAATCTAACTTCATGACATGCTGCCACAATAATTGTTAATGTCTGTTGATGTCTATGCTCCATCCTTCATAACATGCTTTTTCAAATGAGAGGGGGCATCTATGACACTTAAAGTAATTATGCCCTGTCCATTTTACTTCAGCTCTGTGCAGCTCCTCATAATGACTTAAATGTTATCATTTCCTAAAGCTGCTGTGAAAATATTCTGAAAAAATGATTTTGGGCATCAAATTCATCCGCATTTAATTGAAAAACATATATATATATATATATATATATATATATATATAAATTTTTTTTTTTTTTTTTTTTTTTTTTTTTGTAGAACTGCAGCCTTTGTTCAAACTACACCTATGTGAAAAGGAGGAGCTGCTTTTATGACCAGATAAATGTTACACAGTAAGGATGGTTCATCAATGGAGTGAAACATTTGTTGAATGTCATTTTCTGGCTCACAACTTGTTAGAACATATTTTACCATTTTATTTCAGACACAAATACCCTTTATCTTTTTGCCATGTGCTTTAAACTAACTCTTGATAAAGATTATTTTTGGCGTCTTGAACTGGACTTGAGATCTGAATGTGTGTCTTATTGATATTAACTTGAGGCTTCTTGAACTGCTGAGCAGTGAAAATACAACTTACCACTATTTTTCCCTTTCTGTTGCATGGAGTAGAACAACATGCAGTGACAAGGCCTTACTATTTTTAAATGTTTTTACTAAATCATCCAAAGCCTGATTAGTTCATGATCACCTCGGCACATTTTGTAGATTTATATTAAATAAAAAATATAATCCTGTATCATTTTTAAGTAAGTAAAATTAAAAAATGTGTGTGTATGAGACTAGAAAGGACCATAACTTTTTAGTCTGTCAGTTTAACAGAGCATTGCTTATATCTGATTATGCTTATCCTCCTAACTGTAATATAGATTTAAGAAAAAAGAAAAAAAATGTGGCATTACATGTGCCACCATTGAACAAAAATGATCAACTCTTTGTAAAAAAAAAAAAAATAGAAATGCAGCTGCATGATCTTATAGAAAAACCAAAGCCGTAAACATTACTTAAATATTGTTTCTAATTTAAAACACATTATATTTTTCTACTTTTCAAGCATACTAAAGAAAAGCTCACCAATATGACAGAAGAAAAATAAATGTGGAATGTTTCTCACATTTGCAATTTGGCAAGAGTCAAATGTTAATTTGTTAAACTATATTGTTAGAAATAAACTAAAATATGTATTTTTTCAGTATAAGTTCTAATTTTGCCCCCTTTTTTTTTGCTGTGAAATATAAATATGCTGCAAGTTACTAGATTAAGGGAGCGGTTTAGCAAACAATGTCAGATAAAGGAAAACCATCCAGTTATGATATCTGCATGACTGATTGATTCATCCTTGATTCAGATTTATTCTTTAACATTTTGGAAATAGGGTATAGGCATCAAGAAACTGCAGCTTTCCACAAACCTACTGTAGTTATTGGGCTCTCTGTTTTTTTCCATTTTGCTTTCAACAGTTTCTAGTTTTACTAAGTAAATATGATATTAGAAAATAAAAATAAAAAAAAGACTTGCAAGAAAGGTTGTAAGATGTCAGCTTAACTGTAAAAATGTGTAACTATTCCAAAAATGTTACACTACTTAGTTATGATACAGCTTTGAAAGTATGTTTTCAAAGTGAAGTGTAACATACAGTATGTATGAAATGGAAATGTGAGGTATGCTTCTTTGCACAGCACATTCTACCTTTAGGTAACAACATAATTTTTTTTACTGTTTGTGCAATCATAAGCTTGCTCTCATTAAAAACCAATTATGTTCCCATTGACGTTTAAATGTATTTTGCATGAGGCTTTCATGTTCAAATGGATCTTTAACTGAAAAAAAGGAATCTTAGAATCTTAGGTATTTTGGTTTTAAAACAATTGGATCAAGAGCATCCACACTCATTTTTTTAGGTCTACAAAATATTAATAAAATCCTGAATTCTGGTGCCTTGTTTTTGTGATACATTTGTGTTTATAGTTTTCCGAAAGGTGCATCTGATTTGTGACAAAAATCGCTGCACATTTCAGGTCTTCTATTTGTGACATAGTACCTTTTTTTTTAAAGATAATTTTGAAAGTGGGCATAAAATGGGCAATTGCCAAGTTAAGGTTTTGTCTAATTTTTTATTTATTTAAATTATGTCCACATATTTACACATTAGTAATAACCTTGGTTAGTTTAAGGAAGCCTGCAATGTAATAACAATCCAAATGAACTCTTATTCTCAATCAAGAATAAAAGAAATTCTTCAAGAAGCCTTGTTTTGTTTTTCATTGCACCAAACACAAAGCGGTTTGACTTCAGACTTAACCCTGCAAATCCAAACATATCGTTTTGATTTCAATGTTTTGCAGACCTACGTGGATTTAACAACGTTGTCACTTCCCTCTAAAACCAATCAAGTAATCAATTGTTATTATATTTAAGTCTCAAGAAAAATTCAAACTGCATATATAAAAACTTGTAAAATAGTTTTAAAAATTATAAAGATGAATATGAATGAAATATAAAAGTTGTTTAAGTGTGCCATGCATGCAAAATGTCTTCCTCCACATTATTGCAAACATGAAATTTACATACATTGCATAAAAAGATGCAGATTAAACTGATTAAATCAAGCTAAACTTTTATTTAATTAGGTTAGTTCAGATTACCAAAATAATTTGAAAGGCTACCCAGAAAGAGTGTAAAAGCTAGAACATGGACTGAGACAAATAGCTTAATTTTTGTAAAAATGTATTGGTCTGATGAAACCTGATCTACAGATTAAGAGAAATGCACATGAATTTCTAAATTTGAGGAAAGTAAAAAACTGGCAAAAATGGGAATAGCTCATTATTTGGAAATATGCAAATGGAAAAAAATAGTTATCTTACCCTAAAGGTTTATTCTAATTTAATATCTAAAAGGAGAAAGAATAGATTGAGTCTTTTAAAGGAGTGTATGTAAACATCAGGTTTTAACTGTATATGCAAAAACTAAATACATTTATAATAATAGAAAAAAACAGAAGAAATTAAGTGATGTATCAATAAAAACTGTTAAATTATTCTATTTTTTACAAATAAGATTTTTCAAACAATCATTTGACACATAAGGCTTTACAGAATTAACAAAAACACTGGAAACAAACTGTTTTTAAAGATATTTTACTTTTACGAACATATTCTCACAAGTACCAGCATTTAAGGTGCACACACTTTATAGCAACGTGGATCAGAGCTACTTTAAGGAAGCTTGTATCAGGTAGGATTAAGTTGAACTATTTTACTTTCTAAAATTGGTTTCTCTGAGGTCCTATAAGCAAACATGCAAACAACCTGTATATTTCTAGCTGCTGAGTTTAACAGTTTTAAAGCTTGAACAAGGAACATGACTTGTACAGATTCCACAGAGAAGAACATCTCTACTGTGTCACTACAGAGCATCTCTAGATAAACTAGCAGGTTAAATTTAACAGCGCATCTTTGAACTGCAATGCAAACCCTTGAACAGTGACGTTCAAGCACGAAACAAGATACAATCAAATGTACGTATAACGTTTAGTTAACGAGTTAATCTCTAACTGAAGCAATTTTTTTTCCTTCGTCTGCTTTTGCGATGCATTGTGATAATGGACCAGGCATTTACTATGGTGTGCAAATGGAGCAAGATGTCTGCGGGTCTTCTGCCTCTCTGAACGTTTGGGGCAGCAGCCCAGCACAACGTTCATTTGACCTTCTGTGCCTTCTGTGCAGATTTGGTGATTTTACCGCTTGTAGGGGCTTTCTTCTCCACACCTTTTATCACTCCCACCGCCACCGTTTGACGCATGTCTCGGACAGCAAAACGGCCTGAGGAATAAAAAAAATCTCTGCTTTAAACTTCATTCTCAGAAAGGTAAAAAATTAAGATTTTAGATTCATTTTTTTGTGGTTAAGTCTTTTTACTAAATGAGGTGCAATCCCTTGTAAAAATATTAATACATCTCGGATGTTTTCATATTTTGCTTTCATATTGTCTTGATTGATGTTAACTTGTATATTTATTAGGCCATCCATGTTGTACAATTGTGTGCCATTTGCAACATTTTCATGAGCAATGTTCATGGAGATGTTCAAAGCCAAGAATGTTATTCCTGAGACTGCTTCAGACCTTTTCACAACCCTGTCCCCGATCTGCCTGACATATTTATCAAGCTTGTTATTAGGTTTGTAATTGTAACATGATAAGTAGTAAAGAACCTCACAGAGTATGAAAACTTTTGCTAGGTACTGTACTGCAGCACTAGACAGACCTCATATTGCAGGATGGGAAACTCACCAAGCGGTGGGTACTCAGAGAAGCTCTCCACACACATAGGCTTGCCTGGGATCATATCCACAATGGCAGCATCTCCAGATTTGAGAAACTTTGGGTTATCCTCCAGCTTCTTTCCAGAGCGGCGGTCTATTTTTTCCTTCAGCTCTGCAAACTTACAAGCGATATGTGCAGTGTGGCAGTCGAGCACCGGGGCATAGCCAGCACTGATTTGACCAGGGTGGTTCAGGATAATCACCTATAGAAAATGTAGTAGCATTGTAAAATATTGAATTTGGAAAAATAGCAGCAAACAAAAGCAAGAGCTTGGCAACAAATAGAATAAAATTTAAAAAATAAATAAAAAAGACAGTGGCCTTTATTAGTCAAGTCTTCGTTGTCTTCTTTTTAAAGCCCTTTAAAAAATTTTCTCAACTTTCAATTTACTTTAAAAATGAAAGATTTTGTCTCCAACCAATAAGTTACTAAAAGAGCGAGCTTGTACAAATTGATGAATAGTTAACATTTAACTACATTTGTCTGGAGTATTCCTTCAAGTTGAGCTAAAAGATGGACACTCAGTTCTCAGTTTTGGACACCCGGTTTTCCAGTTTCAAGGTAACAATAATAACCACAGTTGTTACTAAGAGAACAGACCTGGGAGGTGAAGCCAGCTGCCTCTTGTGGTGGGTCATTCCTGCTGTCTCCAGCCACATTACCACGGCGAATATCCTTCACAGACACGTTCTTGACATTAAAGCCCACATTGTCTCCAGGTAGCGCCTCACTCAGGGCCTCATGGTGCATCTCCACTGACTTAACTTCAGTGGTCACATTGACAGGAGCAAAAGTCACTACCATACCAGGTTTCAGGATTCCTGTTTCTACTCGACCCACAGG